GAAGTAACAATGGCAGCAGTGAAGCTGGTTCCGGTACTTGTACTGTGCGCAGCTTTAGTGACGGTGAGGACGCAGTTTTTGCAGCAACCACGTGACACGGAGACAGTCGAAGGCGCTGACGTCACAGTAAGGTGCATCTTGGACCTCCTTTATGAAGGGGGTGGTGAAGGGCAAATATCGGCTGAGTGGTATCGTGACAGTGTCTATATATCGATCACGAAAGAAGACAGGTACTCTTACATCGACGACAACAAGTATGATACGGGTGACTTCAGCATTAAAATATCTAACTTAAACGTGGAGAAAGATGACGCAGAGTTTCACTGCCAATGGAATTAGAACGAGGTAGCACCTGATGACAAACCTTTATCTACTAAGAGTTATATAACAGTGCTAGTGTCACCACAGTCGGTTTCCATGTCTTTTATAGACAGCTCTTCATCACCGGATGGAATGCTACAGTTCTCTTGTGTATCGGACAGCAGTAACCCAGCAGCTAGCGTCACATGGTTGCTGAATGGTGAAGATATCACTGCCGACTCCAGTCAAACAGAGGAAGCGGGTTCAAGAACAAACACGTTTACAGCAAATAGCATCCTCAGTCACACGTTCTCGCCGATTGATAACGACAGAGAACTGCAATGCAATGTCTTGATCCATGGCGACTTAGCGGTAGTGGAATTAGCCGAGACCCTGTACCTGAAAGACACTGTGACCATCAGCAGCAGCAGCAACCCTACTGGAAATGAAGTCTTCTTACCAGAGACAGAGAAACTGACATTAACGTGCAATGCTGATGGCTATCCAGAACCATCTTACACGTGGTTTCACGACAAACAGGGGATACAAGCTGCAGGCGACGAGGTGGTGATCGAGTTAGTCGAGTTTAAACACAGGAGATTGTACGCGTGTAAAGCAACTAGTGTGTTTGGAGAATACATGTCGAGTAACAAGTTGAATGTGACCGTGGTCGTGCCAGCAACGTACGTCCCCATTGAAATAGACGGCAATGCTGTAGCAGACACAGAAATAATTCATGTAGGACCGCATGAAGCTAGCTGCACTTCAGACAAAAGCTTCCGGGGGAACAGTAACATGGAAACTTGGTGATACATCTGTAGAGGGAGCTAATACATTACATGTCAGTGAAGTCGATGGAACTATAACGACGTACAGCAAACTGACGCGTACGTTTACTGCTAATTATCACGATAAAATACTTGCCTGTCATGTTGACATCCACGAATCACTTCAGTCACTGTCAGTTGATGTTCGGCTCAATGTACAGTACATGGGGCAGGTCAGAGTAAGCGGTGACAGTCAGGCAGGCGTTATGACTGTCATTAACGGCAGTGCGCTTTGGCTGCTGTGTAACGCAGACGGAAACCCCGAGCCAAGTTATGCATGGCTTCACAACAAATCACTAGTTCCTGCAGAAGTGAACCGCGTTTACGAAAAGGAATAGGTTAGTTTCGTAGATGCTGGTGACTACGCATGCTCAGCCGCTAACATTGTAGGAGTTGTGAACTCTGCTAATTCAATGTCTGTAGTCGTCGTTGCTCCTTAACCAAATACATCGAATACGGCCTTCATTGTCGGACTGGTAATCGCTGCTTTGGTTTTGATCATCTTAATCATCGTCATCGTCGGCGTCTGTGCGAAGAGGAAGCCTGACTCAAAGTCCTCTACTTCTTCGACGGAGAGCGCCAAAAATGGCCACGATAACCCTGGCATGGGTGTTTGGACAACGGACATATCCCACAGTGTACCGGAGCAGTATGAGTCGGGCCAGGGAGAAAGCTACACCCAACCTCACAGAACCTACCCACGACCGCAGTACGAGCCCAGTTTCGGGGAGAGCTACAACTACCCCGGCAGAATAGACGGCGTGCTACCGCAGTATGCGCAGGAATCGTGCGGCCAACCTGACAGATCGCACAGTGCGCCACGTCAGTATGACTCCGGTTACATTGATATCTTATCTGAAGACTCTTGCAGTCAGCGTGCTGCGCCAGTAGATGGCGCTGATTGGATGAGAGGAAGCGACGACGACGCTGCCTATGTTATTCCTCCCATGAGAACGTTAGGTTATGGTCAGGGCTCTGGCAACGATTATAACTCTACGCATTCACCCAGTGGCTGGATTCCCAACAGCGACTCGTATCGTTATGGTGGACAGACACGGAACACTTCAGATGAGAGTCGCTTTAACACTCTTGTCTGAACATGAATCAAAAAGTACTAGACTCACTTCTATGGCGTTATGAAGAAACTTCTATAAAAAGTATATGTATTAAAGTAGAGAATAGACTATAGGAGTCAGTTGCCTGAACATTTCACAACAGCACACGTCCTGTTGCATTAACACGAGAAATGCAATACTATGTGATCACGTCGCGTTATATTAAAACACAATTCCGGATTCGTTAGGAAGTCTTTGATTTTCTTTACGGATAATAAATAACAAGATTATATACGATATGTGAAACGTGGTTTCGTTTCTGCATCACGGGACATAAGAGTCACACGCGCTAATCTAACAAGTTCGAGTTTATTGTTTGTCTTAACAATACAAGATTTTTGTTTATTGTTAGTTTGTAATTACATCATAAAACACAGTAGTCTATGTACATTATTATAAACTGACGTCTAGAAAGCATTACAAGTAAAATGGGTCTTGTCGTGTAGTTGTGACATTCCGTCAAGTGGCGTAGCCATGGTGAACGGTTGGCCATTTTTGTGTTTAAAACGTGATCGGACTACTTTGTAGAAATTCGCATCATAGAGCTGGCAAATGTTTCGAGCGGAGCATAAAGCATGAATCTGTAGTTTTTTAACATGAATAAAGTGTACGTTGTGTATGCGACGTAACAGTGTGAGTATTTTTAATTAATTTCTGTTCGATGCTTATTCAGGTCTGCTGCCTATGGACGCCTTCTACTGTTGTACAACACATTAAAATTTAATATGGCCATCGCGTGGGGAACTATGTGTGAGGTGAATACGTTCACATGCGGATGTGTCATATAGCGCCCGCGCGCGGTGAAATACACGCGATAGCACAACATACAAGCGGTTAGCCGTTAGGAGTCAGTTAGATAATAGAGAAAAGCTGAGTAAATTTCTATGCACAGTGTGCCTTCGCGCGGTGAAATACTAACGCGATCAGGAGCTAATAATAACTTATATATTACTAGCGGGATACCCGGCGTTGCCCGGGATCTTTTTTTCCCACTGCAGTTCCGGACCCTAACCTTAACCCTAACCCTAACCCTAACCCTAACTCAAATGGGAAAAATAATTTCGCTGCCCCGGGAAATCAGTGGCGTTACTAAGTTGGTGACCGCTTGGTTGAAAGGAAAATCTGTACGCACCGCCATCTATTGATGAATAGAATTGTCATGAATTATTATTTTTTTAAATTTTTTGTTTCAGCAAGAATCACCTCTCAGACGTGCTAATTCTGAAAATATCTTTAGTTATCCTCTAGGCTGCGGAGTTCTCAAGTTATGCGAGTACGAACTAATTCGGCTGAACAACTTTATATATATAGATTAGCTCTTAACGAGATGTACGAATACGTTTACATGCGGATATGCTATGTTGTCGCTTCACCCGCTCATCAAAATCATGCTTATATCAACTATGGTTAGGGTCAGAGTTCTGTTTAGTGTTAGAGCTATGGTTAGTGTCAGAATTAGGCGTAGGTTTAGATTTAGGGTCAGAGTTAGGGTTAGCACGCACGTGCATACGTGCATGTACACTCATGCACATATATACGCACATAGGCGAGCACACGCACATACATGTATACACGTGTGTACACACACAAACACGTGCAGGCGCACACTCTTCCACACAACGCGCACGCGTGCACGCGGACACAGGTTTCGTGTCGTTTTCTTGCTTTTGATTCGAAATGCAAAAATGTAGGAGCTGTGGCTTGTCACGCACCCCTAATAATTATTATCATATATTTATATATAAGAGCCCGCGTGTGTAGGTATACTAACTCTGCAGACTATGGTTGCACGGCGACCAGGGGATACAATCTGCAGGCGACGAACTGGTGATCGAGTTAGTCGAGTTTAAACACAGAGGATTGTACGCGTGTAAAGCAACTAGTGTGTTTGGAGAATACATGTCGAGTAACAAGTTGAATCTGACCGTGTTAGTGCCAGCAAGGAATGTCACAATAAAGATAGACGTTAATAATGTAGACGGTAATATGACGATACTTGCGGGACCTCTTGAGGTTACCTGCACTACAGGTAAAAGCTTTCCGGGAGGAACAGTAACATGGAAACTTGGTAATACATCTGTAGACGGAGCTAATACTTTACATGTGAGTGAAATTGATGGAACTATAACGACGCACAGCAAACCGCGTACGTTTACCGCCGATGATCACGACAAAATACTTGCCTGTCATGTTGACATCCACGAATCATTTCAGTCACTGTCAGTTGATGTTCGGCTCAATGTACAGTACATGGGGCAGGTCAGAGTAAGCGGTGACAGTCAGGCAGGCGTTATGACTGTCAAGCACGGCAGTGCGCTTTGGCTGCTGTGTAACGCAGACGGAAACCCCGAGCCAAGTTATTCATGGCTTCACAACAAATCACTAGTTCCTGCAGAAGTGAACCGCGTTTACGAAAGGGAACAGATTTGTTTCGTAGATGCTGGTGACTACGCATGCTCAGCCGCTAACATTGGAGGAGTTGTGAACTCTGCTAATTCAATGTCTGTAGTCGTCGTTGCTCCTTAACCAAATACATCGAATACCGCCCTCATTGTCGGTCTGGTAATCGCTGCTTTGGTTTTGATCATCTTAATCATCGTCATCGCCGTCGTCTGTGCGAAGAGGAGGCCTGACTCAAAGTTTCCTATTTCTTCGACGGAGAGCGCCACAAATTGCCACGATAACCCTGGCATGGGTGTTTGAACAACAGACATATCCCACAGTGTACCGGAGCAGTATGAGTCGGGCCAGGGGGAAAGAAGCTACACCCAACCTCACACAACCTACCCACGACCGCAGTACGAGCCCAGTTTTGGGGAGAGCTACAACTACTCCAGGAGAATAGGCGGCGTACTACCGCAGTATGCGCAGGAATCGTGCGGCCAACCTGACAGATCGCACAGTGCGCCACGTCAGTATGACCCCGGTTACATTGATATCCTACATGAAGACTCTTACAGTCAGCGTGCCGCGCCAGTAGATGGCGCTGATTGGATGAGAGAAAGCAACGAAGACGCTGCCTATGTTATTCTTCCCATGAGAACGTTAGGTTATCGTCAGGGCTCTGGCTACGATTCTAACTCTACGCATTCACCCAGTCGGTGGGTTCCCAACAGCGACACGTATTGTTATCGTGGACATACACGGAACACTTCAGATAAGAGTCAATTTAACACTCTTGTCTGAACATTAATAAAAAAGTACTAGACTCACTTCTATGGTGTTATGAAGAAACTTCTATAAAAAGTATATGTATTAAAGTATAGAATGGCCTATAGGAGTCAGTTGCCTGAACATTTCACAACAGCACACGTCCTGTTGCATTATCACGAAAAATGCAATACTGTGTGATCACTTCGTGTTATATTAAAACACAATTCCGGATTCGTTAGGAAGTCTTTGATTTTCTTTACGGATAATAAATAACAAGATTATATACGATATGTGAAACGTGGTTTCGTTTCTGCATCACGGGACATAATAGTCACACGCGCTAATCTAACAAGTTCGAGTTTATTGTTTGTCTTAACAATACAAGATTTTTGTTTATTGTTAGTTTGTAATTACATCATAAAACACAGTAGTCTATGTACATTATTATAAACTGACGTCTAGAAAGCATTACAAGTAAAATGGGTCTTTTCGTGTAGTTGTGACATTCCGTCAAGTGGCGTAGCCATGGGGAACGGTTGGCCATTTTTGTGTTTAAAACGTGATCGGACTACTTTGTAGAAATTCGCATCATAGAGCTGGCAAATGTTTCGAGCGGAGCATAAAACATGAATCTGTAGTTTTTTAACATGAATAAAGTGTACGTTGTGTATGCGACGTAACAGTGTGAGTATTTTTAATTAATTTCTGTTCGATG